ATTAAAGTTGAGGAGTAAGTATTATATTCTGCCTTTCTCCCAGGGTTCCTTTTTAACTGTAGAGGCTGGATATATTAAAGACAACCTTTGTTAGATTTCTTTTCAGTTATGGTTCTGCTTAAAGATTAGGTCCAACAGTTAATACTTTGTGTATACCAAAAAAATGAACAAGGCTATTAACTTTAATCTAAAGTTAGTAAGTATAAACCTAGATATTCTGGATATAGAATCGGTATAGTTAGTCATATTTCTAATGATAGATAAAAAGGACACACGGGTTGCCTCTCCCTTTTTGAAAGGTCATCTAATTGAAAACTTTGTTCAATGCTGTTATAGAGGTTTCTTCATTAATTTCTTAAATATCCACGAAACAGCATTGGTCTTTGAAAAATTCCAGGCATAGCAAAAGGCAAGAAGTAGAAATGAAGACAGTATCATTTGAAAGGAAGCAAAGTCATCCTTACATATAGACAAGATGTTTATATAACTAGAAGATGCAAAACAATCAAGTCTAAAAGTTATCAGTATTTCTTAATGTTAGAATTAATAAAAGAATTCAGAAAGGTAGCAAGTTAAAAAATAAATACATAAATGCCAATAGCTATACATTGCAGCAAGAAAACATAATGTGGAAAATAAATCCTTGTCATAATAACAACAAAAATAAAAAAGCTTATACAGGCTTTAGTCTGTAGGTATACATGAAATGTATACATGTATATATGTGTGTCAATAGCTATATTTCTATATATGAATGTATATGACTATAAATATAAATATATACACACACATATTATTATAAAGAATAGTAAAGCAAGGGAAAATGTGGACTTTTCAATGATAGAAAAAAAATTAGCTCCATACCTTATACAATACATAAAATAATTCTAAAGAGATTAAATATAGAGAGCACAAGTGTACACATATAAAAGAAATTTTGGTGGCTATTTAACTCATTATAGTATTAGAATTTCTAAACAAAAATACTTAAATATATTGGTGTACATCTGTATAATGTGTACGTGTGTATGTGTGAAATTACCAAAAAAGAAATACCTTTGACTAACAAAAATTTAAAGCATTTCTTCTTTTGAAACATTTCTAAATTTAAAAAATCACAATAAAATTACAAAGTAAATATCAAACAATGTAGATATTTATAATCAATGTGAAGTAAGATATTAATATCCTTGTAATAATGGCAAAAGAAAAAATGGTCAAAGAACATGATTAAAAAGAAATACAAATGCATAATAAACATATGCCACGTTTTAGCAAACCTCTCTAGTAATGTCTTACAACAATAAGAATTTTTGCTTACTAAAATGGCAAAGATGAACACATATTATTCATTGTTTGGCACATATGGATTCCAATGGCACTCAAGCATCAGTGCTGGAAGTGCACATTAGCATATACACTCTTAAATGCTATTCTTTAGGATGTTTCAAGGGGTTTCAATGCATTTCATTTACTGAGTTAGTTCTTTCTTCTAGGAATCTGTTTTGAGGTAGAAGTGTGAGGATTTAAAAGCAAATATTTTCATATATTTTATTTATACACAAAACAATTATTTATAAAAGAAATGATATGAAGTGTACACTGCTTAAGAGAACATACTATCAGGCAATCCTAAAAATAGTTTTTACATAATTTTTGTAACATGTAGCATTCATCTTCATTAAAGAAGATATAAAATTGTGCTTATATTAAAACATGTACAAATACAAACACAGATATAGCAATAACAAATATCTGATATCAAAATATTACCCAGAATAGGATTTTAAATACTTTTTTCCTTTAGATACTTCTATTTTTATTTTTCAAAGTACACATTACTTTTATAATCATAAAGACCCTAAAACTAGAGTTAATGATTCTAAAGTTAATGTAAGAATAATGGGATGTCCCATATTCTATGTCAGTGTGGACATCTTAGGTTATTCAGATTTTGAACTGTACTGTGTGCCACATCTAAGCAGATGCTACAGACATAATAAAAATCTCAGTAATGTTTACATTCCAGCTATGCAGAAGGGCACAGAGTCTCTTGCCTAAAGTCACTCTGGCATTGACTGTCATGAACATACTCGGATTATCTCTCATGCACATGATTATCAACACACCTACAGAATATGTCCTGTCTCCTCAACATCTCCTGAAATTGCTCCTTCTTCTCTCTTAAAGGTCTGACTTCTACTTTAAACCTAACACAGGTTTCTTTTTCACGGCCTTCTTCAAAGCCTCCTTTCTTAGGATACTTGATTTTCACTACACCTCCTTTGTCAATCATCCTACCTCTAAGATTCAGGTCAGAAGAACTGAGAAACTTACTTAGCTTTTTCTCAAATAGAGTAGCAGCTAAAGACAATTTATAAAAGGCTGACAATCTATTAGTTATTAATAAATCACAGATATAAATGCCAGTATTTCAGTATTACATGAAATAAGTTCCGAAATACAATAACTTTTGAACTGGTATTATAATAACAATGAGCCAAAGGTAGGTTTTGTATAGTCAAAGCATATGCAAGACTTCCCAGTTGAGGGAGGGGAATGAGTCTTTCAAAAAGGAATGGAAAGAAAATCAGTGAAGGACAAAGGATGTACGCAAAGGAGTCTTTAGCCTGGGAAATAAGCCCAAGGAAGAAACCTGCTTCATCAAATTATCAGGAAAGGAAACTCTGTGAAGGAAACAGAAACAGAAAGGGATTTAACACGGAAAATTAGGTGCTGACAAAGACTGAAGGAGCACAAGTCAGGTGCCTTTGGAGCTCCTGACTTCAAGATTACACCTTCAAGGCATTGATCAAGATAAGGAGCCTCTGAAGGCTCAATTTCCTCTTAATATCCATAAGGATACTAAGACTCTGGAACACCAAGTGAGCGTGAGCATGCTAAGCAGAAAGAACGAGCAGGAAGATGACCTCTGCTTCATTTCCAGCTAATTAGTTTTGGTTCTGTTTCTGTTTATGTCATTGCTTTTATGGAAAAATTCAGTGTAAGTTCTAAATCATTAGCTTGGGAACCAATTTTTCAAAGTATTATGTTTATAATTTGGAATCCTTGTGTCTTTAAAATGTCAACAAAACAAATAAAATGAATAAGAAAAACTAAAATTTCTTCTTGGGATGTTTTATAGTTGTGAACTTCATTTAATTCTCCTCAAATATCTTAGTGTGTGTAAAATCATCTCCTCCATCATTACATGGCAGTGTATAAAATTTTTAAATTTCATTTGTAGGATGTGAAAAAAGCTAGGAAACAAGGCTTCGTGATGATAATTTATCACAAAAGCTCAAAAGCTTGCTTCTTAACACCAATGGGTTGCACCTTTTTTTTTTTTTTTTTTTTTTTTTTTTTTGGTGCTTGTTTTTGGCTTATTGGTAAAAAGTTCTTCTTTGGTGCTGATGTAGTAAGCACATTTTCAATTATTCTGTATATAGGCTCAGGGTACATACATCATGGGATAAAAATCATAAGAATAACAATTTCATGACATGCAATGAAGGAAGCAGGAATGCAAAGGAATATTTGTTTTCTAGTGTAAATGTTTCATTCTTTTTGTTGTTGTTGTTGTTAGTTGTTTGTTTCATCCTTTTTCTTTTAACCATAAATAATATTGGTAAAATCAGAGTTAATGATGATGTCCACATCATTGTACTGATGAAGTCCATAGAAGCTTAAGTAAATTATTTTATATAATTACTTAAAAGTCATTTGAAAATGTACTTCGGAAACCTTCCTCAAATGAACCCCTACTCCCAAGGAAGTTCTTGTAGCTGTTTCCTTTACCTTTCCAGTTGAGCAACTAAGGTAAGAGGAAACCAAGACCTTTATCTACTGAGTCATGCATGTTACAGTTAACGGGAAAACTACCAGGAAGGGAATCAGGAAGATCTCCTAGCGACCAATTATTTGCTTCAGTCACCATCTCCTATATTGTCACACACATGAACAATTACAATCCACATGATGTTCAAACCTACTAAGGCTTATTTTGTGTGCCACATACAATTTCTTTCCTAAGTAACATACCCATTAATGTATTTAGTGATGGTATTGGAGTTTGTGAAATGTAACAAAAAGGACGGATGGAAAAGGATGAGAAGCGACAGGTATTAATTGACCCAACAGTACAGGTTACAGTAAAGGCCAATAATCAATTGCATTCCTGCCTCTTAATGTGATTCTGAAGACCAGCTTATCTCAAATATTTCTGAAGATCTAATTATTGCATTTGCCCATGAAAATTCTTCCGACAGGTAATTCAGTTTCTTAAACTTCTCACCTAAGGTATTTGATATTAAAATGTCCCTGATCACACTCAATTTAATGAGATCAAATCCAGAAGGCTTGTTCTCCTTTCCCTTATGTCTGGCCTCTCTGGTGCCCAGTGAAAGCAATTTTGCTGCTTTTTTTATTTTTTTAAATGAAGTTTAGATCTCCATCTGCTCTTATACAGAACTTGGTCTGGGAGAGTCCCTGTTAAGACATCTATTGTAATAGTCGCACCTACACGTCTTCACACACTGACGGCCTATGGCGAGAAATACACCCACACCTCGCCGAGACGGTAGGTGTGTGTTCAGATGCAAGATGGAGGGCAGGAGGGGAGCCGCTGTCCCCTAAGCCAGGCTCAGGCGCACCGACTCCAAGTTGAAGAGTGTTCACAGGTAGGGCTTTTAGGCAAGTGGTAGCTCTGGAGGGCATTTCCGCAGGGAGCCGGACAGACAACTGTCCTCCTGACGGCGGCAGGAGGGTCGAGCTGCCCCGCCACACACGCGCCCGGTGGCCCGCACTTGCAGCCGCACACGCGCGAGCCTGCAGCCCCGCCCCGCGCGCCGTCCAACCGCTCCTCCGGCGGCTTCCCAGGACGCGGCGGCCCCCAGCGCCCCGCGCGGGGAGAGCCCAGGCGCCGCCCGCCGGCCGGGCCACTTCCCTCCGCCGCCGGGTGAAGCTCGGGGCCCGGCCGCGCCGGCCCTCTTGGCGCTCACCTGCTCGCTTTCCTCCGGGGGCTGCAGCCCGCGCCGCCGCGGGCTCGCTCCGGGCTCCCGCTCCGTCCCAGTCGCCGCCCGCTCCGCCAGAGCGTCCCCGTCCTCGTCGCGATCCCCGCTGCCGCCGCCCCGCAGCAGTTCCCCAGCCGAGCACATCCCGCTGCCAACTCCCGCCGCCCGGGACGGCCGCTGGAAGGCCACGCCGCGTCGCACGAGGCGGTGGCCGCCGCCCCAGGGTCGCACTAGTCGGCAGCGCCTGTGGATGACAGGAGACTGCGAAGCGCGTCTGCCGGCCTGGGAGCCCAAAGTACAGTAGCAGCCGGGCCCCTCCTGTCACAGGCTCGCCCCGCCCCGCCGCCGGGAGGAGCCCTCCGGGGCGGGGCCAAGGCGGGGGCGGGACCAAGGCGCGCGTGTGCGTGCGTGTGTGTGTGTGTGTGTGTGTGTGTGTGTGTGTATCTTGTATCTATGTCTATAAGAGGATTTGAATGTGCGTGACTATAGTGATATGAAGGAGTGTATGAGAGAAATTTGTGAGTGTGTGTGCCTTTGTGTGTGTGTGTATGTGTGTGTGAAATAGAGAATTGTGGGCTTGAGGGAGAAAGTGAGAAACTGAGAGACTTACGTGTGAAGGGAGCAAGGTGTGTGAAAGAGACAATGTGTGATGTAAGAGAGTGCTTTTGTGGGTGAGGGAGGCAGTATTGTGAGTGTGAGAGCCATACACGTACACCCATTTACACTCTCCAGGAGGGACCCTCTGTTCTTGCCTGGCACTGGATATGCTGGTTATGCTGCTGGCTGCCTGTTAAGGACAGCTGTCCAACCTTTGCAAGGAACGCACATTTCTGTGTGTTTCTTTTCTTTTGCCTTCTGTCCTAGTATCTCTTTAAAGGGCTGTGTCTTTTTCTCTGTATTGAGTGCTCCCTGGTATGTGGTCTTTGGTGGAGACTTGGGATCATTTAATGTAGCCTCTGTATATTTCTATAAATGGGTAAGAATAGGTCTCAGTGGGTAATAGGGGACATATCCCATTTATAATTATTTCTCTTACTACCCCATCCATTTTGTTAAAGGGAAATCAAGGGACATTTAAATTAATGACATTTAAATTAATGACATTTAAATTAATTTTGCATGTATCTGTTAGACCTGTTTTCTATTTTTGGTAGAGATTCCCTCAGACTTTCTCTGTCACACACACAACTAACACATGGTTCATACACACATGAACTCTTGTGCATAGTTTCTCACACCTCATCTCTGTCACAAATCCTCTTAGTTTTCATTACACATACAAATGTGTTCATTCAATGTTTCAGCAGGTATTTATTGAAGATTACTAGGCACTAGGCTCATATCTAGGTTATGTTTCATTTGGAACAGGCATTCTTTTGTTCCCAGAATTTTTGTTTTTTTTTTTTTTCCTGGAGATCTAGAAAACAACTCTAATAATAGCATTTTAAACAAAAAACATTATTCACATTACATTCCAGATCTTACACCTTGGAGCACATCTTGTGCTGGCCTAGAATGTATGCTTTTGGATATCACAAATTAGAAAGAAAATGAATCTAGATTAATTTCTTTATTAAAAGCCTTTAAAACCCTGGAGGATGGTACTTAATATAATATAAATATATATAATACATATATATTATATATAAATATATATTTAATTTCTATAGTTAAATTATTTAATAATTATATATAATTTCTATAGTTAAATTATTTAATAATTATAATATTATATATTAATAATTATATATAATTATTTAATTTGTATATATACATATATATATAAAACAAAAACAAATGTCACCAATAGAACTCAGAAACATCCCTGATAGGTCTCATACCTTTCCTCTAATAGCAACATTTTTATTTTTTAAATTTTAGGTTTACTATTGTTTCTTATTAAAAAGTGACCTATTTTTAAAAAATAAAACTTTGATATCTTCATATCTTCTCAAAGTTTTATATATATATAAATACACACACACACACACACACACACATATTGATGCAGAGAACATCAACCCTTTACTGTCAACCCTGTGAATTTAAGGCACATTTTGAAGCTCTCCCTCTTTTGCTTATATTCCTTAACTTGGTCTTATGGTTTGGAACCAGAGTGTTACCCAAAGCTTCGTGTGTTGAAGACTTGATCCCCAACACAGTAATATTCAGAGATGAAACTTTTGGGAAGTGATTGGATCATGAARGCTCTTACTTCATTAATCCATTGATGGATTAATTATTTGATGACATTAGTGGGAGATGGTAGAAACTTTAGGTGGTAAGGCCTAGTTGGAGGAAGTAGATCACTGGAGGTATGCCCGGGAAGGGCATCTTTTATCCCTAGCCTGTTCTCTTTCTCCCTCTCCCCACTCCCCTCTTCCAGCTATCCTGAAGTGAGTAGCTTTCTTCTGCCATGCCCTTCTGTGATGTTACCTCAGGCCAAAGCAATGGAGCTGGCCGACCATTGACTGAAACCTCTGAAACTGAGTAAAAATAAATATTTCCTCCTTTAACGTGTTTCTCTTAGTTATTTGGCATAGCAACAAAAATCTAGCTAATAAAATTGGTAAGTCAAAAAGTTATGTCTTCTGAAGAATGAACAGAAAGTTGTACGTGGGGACTCAGAAGTCACAGAATATATAGAGACAGGCAAGTTAAAAGATCAGTACAGGGATGGGAATATAGCTTAGTTGGTAGAGTGCTTGCCTTGCATGCACAAGGCCTGGGGTACAAACCGCTGCTAAGCTTTTAGAGTAGGGGAAGAATTTGACAAAAGTCCTGTAGAATATACTACCTGGTGTTTTGCCAATTCATACTTCTTGATTGATTGACAAATATGTTCATTCAATGTTTCAGCGGGTGTTTATTGAACATTACTAGGCACTAGGCTCATATCTAGGTTATGTTTCTTTKGAAACAGGCATTATTTTGTTCCCAGAATTTTTGTTTTTTCCTGGAGATCTAGAAAACAACTCTAATAATAGCATTTAAAAAAAAAAAAACATTATTCACATTACATTCCAGATCTTACACCTTCGAGCACATCTTGTGAGAGGAGTGGAACATTTTTGCTGGCTCTGTGAGGTGAATAACATATACAAAGCTATCAGCCAGTTTCCATGGGAAGTATAAGATTGCTATTACCTAGACAACTATAGCATGTTGGTCTCATATGTCGTTCATTTTGATTTTATTTTGTATTTACCTTTGCTCAGGAATTAATAAGTTTCAAGAAAAAGGATTCATGTCTAAGGACAAACCTGTCACATATACATGTGGCTTTGTGGCAGTTGCTGTGAGAGCAAGGACTTTTAATTCCTCACTTTCATGTTTGAATCTTATTTTTAATGTTCTCCTACTATTACTTCATTTGTATCTCTTTCCAGAGGGAAAAATGAACAGATCAGTGTGAACTATATTCACCCAATAATATGTAATCTTAGGAAAAGGACAATTATCTCAATCCAAACTTTGTTTTTTTTCAGTTGGACTTTTAGTATACTAGGATGTTATTGTATTATAAGTTTCCTAAATTTTTGCTTCTCATATAATTTTCTATTTAGCAGAATCTTTAGAAAATGGAATTATTTTTGAAATGTTTGAAATCTTAACCAAAATTTCAGTAATCTCTGTTGTACTTTATAGTTTGGATTTGTGGTGTCCCTTAAAGGCCTCCATGTTTAAGATTTGGTTGCGAGACTGTGGTGTTCAGAGGGGTGGTGTTCAGAACCTAGTGGCCTGGTAGAAGAAAGTTAGGTAATGAGGACATGCCATTAAAGGGGATTTGGGGATCATGGCCCTTCTTGTTTCTCTCTGCTTCTTGGCTGCCATGAGGTACACAGCTGTGCTCTATCATATACTCCTGCCATTGTGTTCTGCCTCACTGCAGGTCCAAAAACAATAGAAACAGCCAAACTGAAAAACAAATGAACAATAACAACAACAACAAAAAAACCACTTTTCTCTTTACAAGTTGTCTATCTCAGGTATTTTATCATAGTGACAGAAAACTGACACATGTTTTCTGTGCAATATATGTGAATTTAAAAGCAAAGATACTTATTGAAGAAACCCCACCTCCTTTAGGGTTTGTTCAGTGTCAGGGAGATGCTAAACCAAGGAACATTGGTTCTACAGTTTTTCCAGAGAGTTCTGATTGGGAGAAGGAGAAATTTCCCCATCATTCTGGAATTAACTTTCATCCCGTTTTATTTCTTCTCAGTGTGACTTCTTTGCATTTGATGCACTTCTGAGTTCTCTCCTTACAGTAAGAATGTAGATTAAGAGTTTTACTCATTAAAAAAATAAAGCGTTGAAAATGTTATTCAAACTCACTAGTAGATAAAATGGAAATGTAAACAATTATAGCAATTTTTAAAATGTTGAATAAAACCTACTGTGTACAATAGGGAAACAGTTAAACTCAGCCATCACTAGTAGTTCTACAAATTGATAATGTTCTTTTGGCAGGACATTATTCTGCACTATAAAGACATCCATGCCCTTTGGCTCACTAACCTCTGACCTAGGAAGTAATTCAAAAAGGTGTGGGTTGGGATATGGGGGAAGATTGGTTAAAAGGTACAAAATTTCAGTTAATCAGGGGGAATAAGTTTTCCAGATCTTAATTTTGAATTAACATGATAATCATTTTTAAGATAATRTTAAGTAGAAGGTACAGAATGAAAGCAGCAGAGCTACTTATTTATCCTGTTTCTTGGGTCTAGGCAGGAAAAAGTAATATATGACAGCTTTGCTCACTTTAGGGATTATATCTTATACATGTGAAATTGTATGAACATGTAGATCAAATTTGGAAGACAAATGTTTAAAAGGATTTCTTGAACAACATGATTCCAGGCAATGTGTTTCCTTTGAAAATTAATTGTAATGTTATAATTTAAAAACAAATCGTTTTAATAGATCTGATATCTATTTTCTTTATAAAATAGGATTGCTGCCACCCAAAGTCTGGTTGATTCAACTTCATAGCTGAAAGTTCTATTACCTTTTGTTGAATAATTTAGTTCTTGAATGGGTTTGGATCTTTTATTTATGCTGTCCTCAATAATTTAGAATCATAGACTTGGAAAGGAATCTAAGAGGCAGTTTAGCACAAACTCCCACCCAACGTAGCGGTCACTTTTATAACATTTTTTTTCTGGTAGATGGTCACCCTCCTCCTGCTTGAAGCCTTCCAACTATGGGCCACTCACTACTTCATGCTACCCCCTGTTCAATTACTGAATAACAATAATTGTTACAAAGTCTTTCCATT